TGGATACATGCACGCGTGTACCTTTACTCCACAAAGCTCATTCGTGCTAGATAAGTCACACTTTTTACAGGGGTAGCGTTGCATCTGCATTATGTATTTTTTAAATTAAACGTTCACGCGCTCCACGGATTTAGACAATCTAATTCCGTGCTCGCACGTTTAATTGTCCAAGGTATATGGTTATTAATCAAAGAAATGTACCGTTGCATCGCTGATCTGTTAGGTTGCAGGGATGTGAAAATTCACTTGATATGACGGCAGACACCATAACGGGTTTTATATTTGATTAAGGGAGAGTTTACTTTACTTGGCTACCTCCTCCCACAGGAACCAGAGAATTTGTAACAGCTATATTTGGACCTAAACGAAGGTGTACATTTTTTAGGGGTTAAGATCGACTTTCGGTAAACATGACAGACATCCCCATTGATCATTTCTCGTATATATGATCAATGGGGGTGTCATACTTACCGAAAGTCGATCTAAACACTTAAAACATGTAAATTTACTCTGAACACCTTCGAATTCGTTTAGGTCCAAATATAGCTGTTACAAATTCTCATATCCCTGTGCCCCCTCCCTGGTGTTATTCACATGTAAAGAAACAATAATATCGTTTGTGATAGACTGAAAGATAGACAACTCTTACATACTTCAAGTTGAATAAAATTCCTATTTGTGATGTAAGCTAAAGGGAGACAACTCTATCATAACTAAAATGTTTAACACTCATTTCACAGAGTTTTTGTGGATTCACTTTTTTTGTTGTAAATATCATTATATTTTTAATAATATCGTTAAGCTTAATGCAGATTATGAATAAGAGGTTTTTCAGTTGAAATTGTTTTTTCAAATCTATTATTCGAATGTATTTATTTTCTTGACAGAAATAATGATTTTTAAGAAAATTGTCATCATAATATCCTGACGTTGTTCATTAGGAATTTCTTCATACAATTACAGAGAGTTATTTGCTGTAGTGTTACTGCGTTTTTATAACTTACTTATGTCATCTTAATGGAGAGTAAGCTTTAGAGGAGCCATTATGTTTCTTTGTGTAGATACAGAACATGTTTCCGTTGAAAATATGCAAGTTATTAGATATACCGCGGCATGTGCCATAATGAACATTTGAATGGGACACTTTTCAGTTAACAGAATCAATCACAGTAATAGCGTGTTAGGTGAGAGTTGGTCGACTTAAAATGTAAGCTGTATCTTAGCTTAAACCTATTGCAAAAAGCCGGCATTTATCATTTTGATTTTGGTTTTGACTGATATATATGATTTATTTTTTATTACAATTTATCTGTAAAGTAACCATAACATCCTATATGCCTAACAATGAAAACTAAGAGGAAACAATCATCATTGTATATAATTTGATATCGATGAATTGTATTTTCGATTATCCGCAACATTCAATTAATTGTCTAATAAGCGGTTATCTTTATGTTAACTTAATTTGAAATGCTTAATGGTGTTACTTTTTCGTTTTACGGTCAACACGACAAATAACCTTTCATGCAGATTCATACTGATAGGTATTCTGAAGACTCATAGTATGGTTTGATTAAGGTAAAACAACGACACAAGGTACTTGTTTTTTTATTTGAATAAAAAGAAACCAGCCCAATCCTCTGACAGATAAGAAGAGTTCGATCCCGGGATCTCTGGCTTATCAATCTGATGCTGTACCGGTGACAGATGCTAGTATTCTACCAGGGTTATATACTCCCCTTCTAGGAGAGAACTGTGTCCAGGGGTAAAAGCCATTCTTGTGAAAGTAATGCTGGTTTTTTCTCTCTCTCTCAATATTTCCAGGGGCTCCACGTTGACAGGAAAGGAAAAATGCATAGGTCAGACTGTGATTCGAACCCGGGACCCTCCGAACTCTAAACGGACGCTCCAACCTGTTGAGCTACCTGGTCGCTGGTGATTGATCCCATACATTGCCATTACAATTGGTAATGAACATGTGTTTTTTGTTGTTAATGTTCAATCCGACGTAGCTAACACTTCATTACCCTATGACAATACGGAGATATTACCGTATGTTAAACATATTGCCGTTAGTTTGCCCTTGACGAACGACTTATTCAATGAAACATACATCATGATATCACCCCAAACTACAAGCATTTCAATAGATAAGTATAAACGTTTTCATTATTATCATCATCGTTACAGTTTTAATAAAATTAAAATTAAAATAAACACCTCCAGCTTTCTTGTATGATAGGAGCCCTAGGACATCAAGTAACCGTTCAGCTTGAACGCTCTGAAGTTGATAGCAGTTATATTTTAACATCTGGGCGATGCATTTTATTTTATGAAGCCAAATTAATTTGGTTGTTTTCAGGCAGGAAACTACGATGGCCGACAGCGGCCGACAAAACACATTTTATATAAGCTGTGCTTTGTACCTAATTAATAATCTATGTAATTGAGTACAAAAGTTAACACATTTAGTAAGTTCGACTTAACGCATTTCCTCGTGTACAAATAATTAGGTACAAAACACATTAAAAAAGTTCGACTAAACGTGTTTCGTCATAACAAATACTTATGGACAGTTCCCTTCAGCTGAATTTGTATTAAAACTCCCCCTTTCTCAGGTGTGTAATAAATCATCATGATAACGAACTTAAGTGTGTTCGACTTGGGCTATAGACACTGTCCAAATGTATATATGACGCATGCGATGTAGTTTTACGGAATTTTTGTTTTGTTTTGCCTGCTGTTGAAATTATCATACTGCACTGCTTCAAACATTAAGGACGATGATTGAGTACAAGTAACAACAGCTTATAAATATAAAAGCCATTTCCATAAACGGCAACAACATTGTGAAAGCGACAGTATGCATAATTACTTAATTAACAAAACCATTTGATTAATTGTGCCACCAAAATGTTGTTGATTATATAAATGTATGTCAAAACATAACTTTTTATCGGGGCACGAATACAAATTCAATATATTCACATGCTTCGATTTAAAATAGCAAAGAAAGCCCATCCATCAACGCGAAACTTATTTTCAAAATTTAATTTCATTATAAGGACTACCATCAGAATACGGGATTCAGCTATACTAGTCATATTGCAACCAGTAAGAATGGAAAGTCAGATTTCAACGTCAGTACAAGCGATAGTATTGAGTGTAAAGTCAGCCATGCTTCACTGGGTATTGCATAATACGTACTGTCGTCTTATAGATGGAATATGCAGCTGGTATGCCTGTCATTTGGGCCGGAATAAAGTAATTAATGTCAAAAGAGGACAGGGCTATCAGTCTCCACTATTAAACATGGTCTGGTCTGGTTTGGCCTGGTCTTATTGGTCTGGTCTCAAGTTTAGGCCTGATCTGGTCTGGGCCCATTGGTCGGACTAATAAGTCTATTTCTTATTCGAACTTACTAAATGTGTTTTGTACCTAGTTATATGTACATAAATATTTGTCATGACGAAATGCGTTTAGTCGAACTTACTAAATGTGTTTTGTACTCAATTACATAGATTATTTAGGTACAAAACACAGTTTATATCAAATGTGTTTTGTCGGCCGCTGTCGGCCATCGTAGGAAATTGTGTGTGGACTATAGTTCATCTCTAGCAACACTGGTTGTGTCCCAGCCCTCCGCCAGTCAATTATTCCCAGGGTTTGGCATCAAAAAGGTTGGTTTGTCCTTGTTTATATACACTCGGGTATTTTAAAGCTTGATAATGTCATTTTCACTGAAATGGGGCTCAATGAACTTAATGAATAAGTCCTCTTCGGCAGTAAATACACACGTAATGAACACACAGAGAGGAATACAGCTATGCTACCAGGATTGGCCGTGGTCCTACCCCGCCCCAGGGATATTAGTCTCGGGTTCATTTCATGTTAACACAGGCTGAAATCTCCACCATAGTCTCCACTATAATACCGCGTTTACTGGGAATGAAGAAACGAATAAATCCAAGCTTCCAAGGTTGGTCGTAGAATTTTTCCCGGAGTCATACCATGGGAACGAATGGAATCCTCTCCTTTTAGCAGTATACATTTATTGCAAAAACATATTTTCGTTAAAAGGATATTTGGACCAAGGGATCAGTGTATAAACAAATGACATGACCACACTGTTGGCTTCAAGGTTGGTCCGGTCGGTCTATTCAGGGTTTATATAAGTTTGTTTTTGTTCATTCTCAGCTTGTAGGGGTACTCTTTTGCACCATTTTTGACAAATTTTTATTAAAAGAAAAACAGAGGCTTTTTGTTTATTGAAGAATAATACGTGCCTGACTGGCTGCTCCACCCAAACACCAAGCAGATTCTTTTTTTCTGAAAGGAATATCCAAACCTTTTAAATTACACATCAAACTTTATCTATTTTTAAACAAGTTCTAACGAATTATATAAATCCCTCGTGTTGTCCCGGAAGTTAGCGCGCTGGGGTTCGGAGGAAACCGGAGTACCCGGAGAAAACACAACGTGAACAGAATCGTACATAAACGTCATAATTTGGCATACGCAGACAAATTATATGTTTCTGCAAGTTATTATCAAAGAACACACCTTATTCTTTGAGCGATGAACACATTTTTTAATGTTGATACATGTTTCTGATTGAACTGTGTTTTTGATGTTGTCATGGCTGTATGAACTCTCGTTGCTTGTATTAACATTTACCACGTTCCCTTTGTGAACTGTATATGTAAGTAGAGGTAATTTATGCAAGCATGGAAAACGCCAAAATGCAGTGTTATCCTAACATATCGATATTTAAATATTTTTCTTTAACAATACTCCGAGCACCTCTGCTAAGTTGACCAAGATGACCTCCGATATCTCTTTCTCATTCCTTACTTTCGGTCTGTATAATGTTAGTTTCCACGTATGTGATCAATTACTATCAGCTCACTGGACAATTCTATTCTACTTCAAGCAAATGCATCTTATTATTTATACGGTCGTATAAAATGACATGTATTGTAAAGTACTTATCATTTGGCTGAATACCAACCTTTACGACACCATTTCATCGGTAAGTTATATAATTAGTGTTTAATTTGTGTGTGTGTGTGTGTGTGTGTGTGTTGTGATGTTCTACCCGTTGATAAGTTAATGTCATTATGTGAGATTTTATTTAGTGCTAATTATCAATAAATTTTACACTGTTTATGAATTATGTTACGATAAGGACACCATTCATTGATATGTTTTTAAACCTTTACTTCACAAATTTGTGACGTCAACATCTCATCCTCTGAAATCGCTGATATATTGTGTAAATACGTACATGCATATTTGGCCCACTGAAATTAGTATATCTTAACTTAAAATGCATAAAACTGTACATCAAATTTAATTTTACTGTAAAGGTGTTAGTTTAAACTTTGTTTTATTCACATAACATATGAAATACATAATACAAATATGATTAAACATAAATGAATTGGAGACAGAAACAAGTGTTAATACACTTATATAAATCTGTTGCCTTTCATCGTAACCAACATTAACAACCATAGCTTAGGGATAGTGACGTGAATAAATTACAGGGGAAGTTAGAAGAGAGTTGGGGAAATTCAGTGTAAAATATGGTACATGTACAAAATACGTTATATTAATAAAATCAGTACATGGTGGTCAAGAAAAATCCTTCTGTTGCGTCATTGTTAATACACTTTATGGTTGATTTTCAGACTATTTCAAGAAAGGTATATATATGCATATAAGTAAGTCCATACGCAGACAGTCGTTGTGATAGACTGTTCACACTCCATACACTGTTACTGAGCGATTGTCGTACTCCTGGTATATCCGTTTCCACTAGACTGTTTGCATCAGGAAAGACCATCCACATGACTTACTTTATATATGATATATGCTATTATATGAATACAAAAGTCATTGATTAAGACTCTTATTCAAAGACGTCATAAGATAATAAATCAGAAATGAATTGATTTATTATCATGTTAGCAACTCAGCTATTTCTTTTTACATATGATCGCACACAAACGTCCATGTATGCATCCCCACACATATCATAAACACATATATCTATCATACATACACACATACATACACACATACGTACGTAAGTAAATACCTACCCACCTACATACATACTTAAAATATATTTACTTGCGCACATGCGTGTGCATGGCTGCATGCATAGTCATGCACCCGCGTACGTAAATGTATGCACTCCTACACACACGCTCACACATGCATGCATGCGTACATACATACATACATACATACATACATACATACATACATACATACATACATACATACATACATGCGTACATACATACATGCATGCATACATACAAACATACATGCATGCATGCATGCATACATGCATGCATGCATGTATACCTACCTACCCACCCACCCAC